AGAGAGAGAGAGAGAGAGAGAGAGAGAGAGAGAGAGAGAGAGAGAGAGAAACAAGAAAGGAGAGAGTGAAGAGGCTTAGTGTTTTGGGGGCTGGAAAAATGTACATGTTACCCTCCTGAAAGAGTGGATGTTGGGTGTGTGATGTCACTGACCCTACAGGATTTAAGTCTGGGATATCTGGATATGTAGCAGACTCATTTCATAGTCCTAATTCTCCTGTGCGCTCTAACTATTCATCTTTTACTCTCTCCTGACTCTGAAAGCCACAGCCTTCTTATCATGTCATCATTTTGCTTTTTCCAAAATGTCACCTAACTGGAGTCAGAGTGTGCATCCTTTCCCTGGTAGCTTATTTACACAGTGATATGTATTTAAGACTCTTAAGTGTCTTTATGGCTGGGTAATTCATTTCTTTTTAGAGGTAAAAGCTTTTCTTTGTGTAGATAGAGTATGGCTTGTTTGTTCATTCATCTATAAAAACATTGTGGTTGTTTGAAAGAAAATGGCCTCCATATGGAGTGGCACTATCAGGTGGTAAGGCTTTGTTGGAGTAGATATGGTCTTGTTAGAGGAAGTGTGCCATTGTGGAGGTGGACTTTGAGGTCTTCTATGCTCAAGCTTCCCCAAGTGACAGAGCTCACTTCCTGTTGCCTGCAGATCAAGGTGCAGGACTCTCTGCATGTACATTGCCTTGTCCCACCATGATAATAATAGACTAAACTGTTGTGGAATTTTTCTTTAACTGTATAAAGATGTGTTACATTTGTTTATGTTGTTGAATATTACTTTAACTATGTAAAGGTGTGTTGCTTTTGTTTATGCTGCATTTGTTTAATTGTGTAAAGATGTGCTGCTGTTTCACCTTTCCTGTCTAAGGCAACTCTCTGGTCTAATTAAAAAGTTGAACAATCAATAGCTAGGCAGTAGAGGGATAGGTGGGACTGTAGGTAGAGAGACTAAGTAGGAGGAGAGAAGAGAAGAGAAAAAGAAAAGAAAGGAGAGAGAACAAGGGAAAAAGAGAGGGAGATGCTCAGGGCCTGTCAGCCAGGAAGTTGACAGGCAGACAGACATTAAATAAGACATACAGATTAAAAGAAAAGTGAAAATCTCTGAGGCAAAACATAGATAAAGAGAAACAAGTCAAATTAAGCTATAAGAGCTAATGGGACAAGCATAAGATAAGGCTGAGCATTTGTAATTAATAAGAAGTCTCTGTGTCATGATTTGGGAGCTGGTTGTTTATCCAAAGAAAGCCTGCACTATGCTAAATCTCTGAAACTTTAAGCCAGACCCAATTAAATATTTTCTATTATAAGAGTTGCTATGGTCATGGTGTCTCTTCACAGCAATAGAAACTCTAAGACAAACACATTGTCTGTTTCAAAGTTTAACAATTGTGAATAACATTTCTATAAATATCAATATGTAAGCTTTCATTGACTATAAAGTCTTTAGTCCTCAACTCCTGTGTGTAAATATCAAGAAGTATTGTTACTAGACAACATGGTAAAAGTATGTTTATTTGTGTGTGTGTGTGTGTGTGTTGTGTGTGTGTGTTTTCATGTGTGTGGAGTTTAGAGATAGACACTGCCTGCCTTCCTATGATGCTATTTTATTTGGCAGGGAACAAGGTTTCTTGCAGGGCCTGTAACTCACTGATTCAGCTAGTTTGGCTGACCAGCAAATGCCAGTGGTCTTTCCTGTCCTGGCCACACTTCACCATGGCTGTTTTAAAAGCCACTGGAAAGCAACCAATTAACTTAGAAACACCATGATATTTCATCTCTAAATACTGTCATGTGGTTTCTGAAAACAAAGGGTTTTCTATGTAATCAAAATCCTATTATTGAAATAAAATCCTATGAAGGTGTAAGTCACAAAACAATCCCACATCAGTTTGGAATTATGATTAATAAAGGGGTTATTTATTTAAAGGGAAAAGCTTACAGATTACCATCCTAGACAACAGCCCTCTGCACTAAGATGGAAGGTGTCTAGTAGCCAGAAGTGGAGCCGGAAGCGGAGCTGGAAGCAAGGGGGCAAGAGCAGGGCTACTGCTGCTTTTTAAAGCTAAAGAGACCACGCCCAAGTGGGCTGGTATCTTAAAGGCTATTTGCTGAAGGAGCCAAAGGAGCTCCCACAGCAATCCTAGCCAGACACACCATAATTCCAGGATGCTAAGCCAGGAGGATCACAAGTGACTATCAGCACAGTCTACAGAGTGAGTGCAAAGCCAAAATATATTCTTACATAAGAATAAATAGACCTTACTCTTATGCGAGGTACCTGTGTGCATGCAGGCACATGCACACATGTAAAGCACACACACATCCTATTTTCATACCCAAGAATTTTATCAGTGATACATGACCTTATTTAACCTACAGCTTGCATCTAAATTCCCCTAATTATCTTCAACCTTTCCTTTAGAGTCAGATCAGATGCTAATGTATTTTATTTGGTTTAAAACCTCTTGTAAAGCTATATTCTTATAAACTTTAAAAAGAAAACCTTAAATGTGTATGTGTGTTTTGCTTACATAAATATCTGTGTACTCCATGTATATCTGTTAATCTGTTGCTTATGTTCTCCAGTAATGAGAGATGGTCATTAGTGATCATGCGGGTGCTGGTAATCAAACTCTGGTCCCTGGAAGAACAGCTAGTGCTCTGAATCACACCGAAGGTATCATATTACTTAACTGGTTGACTGATCAGCCACAGAAAGCGATGAAGTGGTGAGATGTGCTACATCATTGATCAGCTGCAGAAACTCAGGTGAAGGCAAAGTCTAAAGACTCCATACATTGTGATATTCCTTTTATAGGATATCGAGAGTAGGTAAATCCAGAGAAGCAGAATGCAGACTGTGTTTTTATATAGTTTTTCACTTCTTCTGGTTTTAAGTATCTAGTATCAGCCAAGGTATGAAAATATTAAATAGGAAATTCCAAAAAAATTAAAGGAAGCAAATAAATTAATGATTTTTAATTGTTGAATAATATTTAATATTTTGGTATGTTGCTTTAATGGTTCTGTTTTATTGCTACTGATCTCTGCTAGTCTACTATTATGTCTGATTTATTAGTTGAATTTTTAGCGCAGATATGTATATGTTGTTAAAAGCATAATATTCTTGGCCAGCACTGCCAGTAGCTTCCAGACAACCACTGGGGGTATCCCTATACATTGGGTCATAGAGAAGATGGAGCTGTGGTGTCTCAGGGTTAGATTCGGTGGCCCTCACCAAGATACATTGATATATCATTGGTACAGGGCTCTTTTTAACAATGTTGAAAAGGAGGAGATAGGAGTTTGGGGTCAGGAGAGCTCTCTAGATAGGCACTCTCACTGTGTAAGAGAGGACTCCCTAAAGTCACCTGCAGTAGTGAGCACTCATCATCTGCTAGGTTTTAAGCTTCTAGTATGCCCTCTTCTCTCTTATCATTCATTTCAAAACAGGGGTTCACTATGTGGTCTAGGCTGGCCTAGAATTCAGTCTTCTTGCCTCATTCTCCCAGGTACACAACATCACAGCTGGATTAGAAGTGTGTCCATATATAATATATAAGTCAAACATTTAGAACTGTATTCTTTGGGCCAAGTGTGGTGGGACACACCTTTTAATCCTAACACTTGGGGGGCAAAGCCAGGCAGAGCTCTGTAAGTTTGAGGCCAGTGTTGTGTACATAGTAAGTTCCATGCCAGCCAGAGATACACAGCAAGACCCTGTCTCAAAAAACAAAAGTATACCTTAAACATAATGGATTATTGTAAAGTTATCTTTTTTGTCGTCAATATTCAAGTTTTCTCCACCCCCTCACCCCCATATATTTAAGCAATATTGTTAAGTACATAAATGATTGGAATGACTCATAAACATAGCAAGAATTCATAGACACTATAACCTGAAGTGCCCCCTTTGTGCTTGTGATAGTTTGAATGAGAATGGCCCCCATAGGTTCATTTGTTTAAATACTTGGTCCTTACTGGAACTGTTTGGGAAGGACTAGGAGGTGCGGCCTTGTTGGAGAAGGTGTGTCCCAGTGTACCCTCTCTGCCTCCGCCTCCTGCTTGCAGATGGGAGCTCTCAGCTGTTCCTGTCTCCATGTCCTTGCTCCCCAACCATGACCTCAATAAGATGCAAATGAAATACTGTCTTTTATAAGTTGACTTGGTTATGATGTTTTGGCACGGCAATAGAAAAGTAGCTAATACAATACCATTTTTGTTTCTGACAAGAGTTCTTGAAAACGGAAGCTCTGTGGCCAACACATGTCCGCTTCATGGGTACATGTACTATGACGTACAGTCGAAGTAGGACAGTAAGGTTTCCTACAGTAGCCAGTCTTCTACTTTCTGTGACCAGTGGTTGTGAATTACAGGAGAAGTGACTGGTGGACGATCCCACCTGGCCTGTCTCTCTCTTACAGTTCAGGTGTCCACTGGGATCTCAGTGATGCTGATCGTATACAACTACTGGTACATCTATATCCCATATCTCATCTGGCTCTACTTTGACTGGCAAACTCCAGAGCAAGGAGGCAGGAGATCTAACTGGGTCAAAAGCTGGACTGTGTGGAGGCATTTTAAGGACTATTTTCCACTTCATGTGAGTAGAACTGTCTTCTAAAGTATTCTTTTGAGTTGGGGGGACAGTGGAAATGTGATTTCATCTTGTGTGTCTCTACTTTATTCCTTCAGTCCATTTGGGGTTCTTATAATGAACACCAGATCTTCAGATCCATATAAAATTTTTTATTTCTCCTAGTTCTGAAGTCTGGCATGGGTGGGGTCCAATATTAAGTTTCCAAGATTCAACCATTATCATCTTGCCCCATGATCTCATGGCAGATAGAGAAGGCAGAGTAAGAGGGGAGCCAACTTGTCCTTTTAAGAAGAATCCATCCACACTGGCAGTAGAATGCTAATCTCTCTACTCTCTGTGCTCTCGTGAGCTAGCCCCCTCTCAGGAGACCTTGCATTCCTATACTGTTGCACTGGAGATCAAATTATTCTTGTTTTGTGGGTGATTGACAGACAGATGCGAATCATTCCAGAGAAAGTGTGCATTTTGGTCCAATTTAATAAATGAGACTTACGTCAAGTTGACAAAGACTGGGGGGAGGAGGGGGATGTGTATGGGACCTGGGCTTAGTGAATGGTTTGAAAATGTCCGAATATCTCTAACGCAGGGCAATAAGATGAATTGTGATGGTCAGGTCCGGCTGAATAGGAACAGAGGGGGAACTCTTCCACTTCTCACTAATGGGGGTCGTTTCATTTCCTTATCTCAATGTGAATTGCTATATGTAGCTCATCAAAACCCAGGATTTGAATCCACGACAAAATTATATATTTGGGATTCACCCTCATGGAATATTTGCAACTGGAGTTTTCGGAAATTTTTGCCTAAATTACTCCGACTTCAAGAAGCAGTTTCCCGATTTTACACCTTATGTTCATTCGCTTGCATGCTTGTTCAAGGTCCCAATCTGCCGAGAATATCTGATGAGCTTGGGTAAGTGACGCAGACACCGCTCCTCAGCTTCAGTGACACCCACCTGATCTTACAAACCTACGCTCTGTGGGTTTTCCCGACACCCAATCCTTCCGTTTGCTCTTCTGTTCAACCCAGATATTTAGCTTCGTGATAGCAGCATAGGCGTTGTCAATAAGCACTAATTAAGTGGGAGAATATAGTGGTGAATGCATTTGGTTTATACAAATGTGGAAAAACAGTCATGGGTCAGATAAAGGATAAATTATACTTTGGAGAGTCACTTTGCGCACTTTTATTATTATATTATATATTAGAACTGGAAAATGTCCTCCTTTGTGTCTTGTGCATCGCCAGGACATAAACTACTCAGTGTGCTGGCTTTGTCATGCTAGGTTGTGTGCCCCCCTCCCCCTGGGGCTGTGGGTGTGGTCTGCGGTACAGTGTTAGAGCTGTGGGTGTTATCTAGCATGAACAAGGACTGGTTGTACCCCCAGATCTGGAAAGAAAGAAAGAATGGGGAGAGAAGGGAAGGGAAAAGGAGGAGAAGAGAATGGGATGGAACGGAGAAATAAGAGTCACCTGTCAACAGCCTGGTCTACGGAGTGGTTCCAGGACAGCCAGGCTACACGACAAACCCTGTCTCAAACAAACAAACAAACAAACAAACAAACAAACAAACAGAACCCACTGCTACTCTGCTAGGTTTGATTTGGACTGATTGTGGTTTGCTCTTTTTTTTTTTTTCCAAACCCAGACTTAGGGTCTTTTTTTGTAAGTTTATTTATTTATTTAGTATACAGTGTTCTGTCTACATGTATGCCTGCTGGCCAGAAGAGGGCACCAGATCTCATTATGGATGGTTGTGAGCCATCATGTGGTTGCTGGGAATTGAACTCAGGACCTCTGGAAGAGCAGTCAGTGCTCTTAACCACTGAGCCATCTCTCCAAGCCCCCCCCCCCTTTTTTGAGACAGACCCTCTCACTCTATTACCCAGGCTGGCCTTCTGGCCCTGAATTCCGGACAGTACCACTTTTACGGCTCAAATTCTGAGATTGTAGGTGTGTGCCGCTGCACCTGTGAGTCAATGGAATACTCTTTGATCACAATTCTGAGCAGAGAATCGGTCTGAAATGCTGCGGAGAAGCTATATAAACATATAAAGTGACCTCAGCTTGTGTCGGTAGCCTTCATTTCAATTCGAGAGACTCTGTTTGCTTTTCTAACTCGATTGGCTTTTTGACAGTGCACTTTAGTGACTTACAGAATGTTTTACACTTGTCAAAATTGTGGAGGGTGGTTGGTTGTAATTACCTTTGCAGCTTCTGAGTATAAAAAAATAAATGAGCAGCCTTTTTGAAAAAATTATATCTTCAGGATCAATTAGTGATAGAGTTAGGGAAAGAGTTTCTATGGCCGTCCAGATTGTCATGGCTTCCTTTACAGTCACTTCTGTCATTAAGTATCTGTTCGGAAATCACCACAATACAGAGCACTAGGATCCCTGCTGGTTTTGCAAAAACTGTGACAGTTTGTGGCCTCAAAAGTAGAAGAGCTAGTTCCAGGGTAGAACTCAGTCCAGTGAGTGCTGCAAGGCCCACTAGAGGGCGCCCTACCCCTTAAACTACTGCGTGATCTACCATATGGCCACTAGAGGGCGCACGAACACCCCAAACTACCAAAGAAAATTCCTGTGTGGTTGACATTGGGTTAGAGTTTTATAAAAGGAACAAAATTAAAGATAAAATTTTAATTTCCAAAAAAGTCACAGAAATTTATTTTAAATTTATTTTTTACTGATTCAAAGTGTAATTACCAGCAAATTTGTGCAGTTGAGAACAGGTACGGCAGAGCATTCTTGGCTCCGTGACCACGTCAGACACAGTTTCAGAGTTATTCTTAATACAGTGACCATTGTAGTGATATTTTGTTTGTGTTTTAACAAATAAAGCTTGCCTGAAGATCAGAGTGCAGAATTAAGCCACAAAAGGCCAGGCAGTGGTGGCACACACCTTTAAACTCAAGACTCAGGGGACAGACAGATCTCTGTTAGCTCAAGGCCACCCTGGGCTACAAGAAATTGATCCAGTCTAAAACAAAAACAGAGCTCACACAAGGGTGATCCCAACACTTGGGACCCCATGTCTTTGACCTCAGCAGTAAGGAGGTGGAGACAGGAGTGATGGCTGGGAGAAGAGAAGACTAGAAGGCGGGAGGAGAACTCAGTGCAGTCTGAGGAGGCAGTCTGGGGATGCAGTCTGAGGAGACAGACAGTCTGGGGATGCAGTCTGAGGAGACAGTCTGGGGATGCAGTCTGAGGAGACAGTCTGGGGATGCAGTCTGAGGAGACAGACAGTCTGGGGATGCAGTCTGAGGAGACAGACAGTCTGGGGATGCAGTCTGAGGAGACAGACAGTCTGGGGATGCAGTCTGAGGAGACAGTCTGGGGATGCAGTCTGAGAACAGGATCGCCCCTTTGATCTGAGCACTGGTAGAGGCAAGAACTCCAGTGGCTGGCTGCTCTGCTTCTCTGATCCTTCAATGTTCACCGAGTTTTTATTATTAAGACCAATTAGAATTCATTCATGCTACAGATCGCAGCCATTCCTGTTGTATAACAAGTGTTTATACTGACATTAAATCTGTGTTCTGTGTGCCATCATTGTCATATTTATTCACTGGATCTTTTGAGACTGGATCTCATTCAGAGCCTTATAGTTCTCTAATAGCAGGGAGTCAGAATAAAGCATCACTATTGCAGTAGAATGTTGTTTTTAAAAATTAATCCTTCAGAAGGGATGGCTAGTCATGGTTTCTCTTTGCTTCACTAAGGGTTGGTTCCCGTTTCTAAGGAGAGCATATCCCATGTAGTGAGCAAAGATGGAGGTGGGAACATTTCCATCATAGTCCTTGGAGGCGCGAGGGAATCGCTGGACGCCCACCCAGGGAAGTATACCCTATGTATGCACAGTCGCAAAGGATTTGTTAAGCTTGCCTTGATCCATGGGTAAGTGGCTTTTTTTTTTTTCAGTTTTGTTGGAGACAGGGTCTTATTATGTAGCTTAGGCTGGCGTGGAACTCACCATGTAGCCCAGGCTGGTGTGGTGGTCCTACTATTAAACCTGCCAAGTCCTGGGATTACAGATGCGAGCCACCCTGCTTGGCCTAGTTAAATGGCTATTTTGTTTAGGGTAAGTCTGTTTTCAAAGGATAAGACATTAAGTGAGCACAAAGAATGATAACTTTTCTAATCCTAAAAGAACATTCTCCAAGTCAATGTTCGAATGAAGACAGGTGTAGGGGGATGGGGTCTTCGGAATGGAAGATGAGCGTTCTAACAAGGTAGCTGGAATGTCCCAGCATTTGGTAATTTAAAAAGCAAAACAAAACAGTAGACACGAAATCTTACATACTCAGTGTAAATTTGCAGCAAGATGAACCGAAGCCAATGGAAAGAATGGCTTTCCCCAAGCTTGACTTCCTACAGAATAAGATTCTGGCCATGACTAGCTTGCTGAAGCCCTTCCTAAGGATTTCAAGCACAGCTTGACGTGTTTTGAAGTTCATGCAGCTTCAGCGTTTCTAACGTGGCTGCAGCATGGGGAGCATGGGTGCTGTAGTAGTCACTTTCCCCCATTGCTGAAAAATGCCCCACTAAAGCAGTTTGGGGCTGGAGAGATGCCTCAGCAGCTAAGAGCAAGAGCACTGGCTGCTCCTTCAGAGGTCCTGGGTTCAATTCCCTGCACCCACATGGCAGCTCATGCCTGTCTGTATCCCCACTTCCATGGCTCCTAACACCCATATATAGACACGTATGCAGGCAACATACCAATGAACATAAAATAAAAGAAAATAAATTGGGGCTGGAGAGATGGCTCAGTGGTTAAGAGCATTGCCTGCTCTTCCAAAGGTCCTGAGTTCAATTCCCAGCAACCACATGGTGGCTCACAACCATCTGTAAAGAGGTCCGGCGCCCACTTCTGGCCTTCAGGCATACAGACAGAATATTGTATACATAATAAATAAATAATTAAAAATAAAATAAAAAATAAAATAAATTTAGAGCAATTTGAGAAAGGAAGGGCTTACTCGGGCTCCCTGTCTCAGGGGATACAGTCCGTCTTTGTGGGGAAGGCACCCACAGTCTACAGACGGATCGCAATGAACAGTGGGACTCAGCTCGCATTCTCTTTTCCTCCCTCTTTAATCCACCCAGGCCCCCAGCCCATGGGATGTTACCTTTGAGGGGTTCATATTCCCCTCTTCATTTAAAACCTCTCCAGAGCTGTTATTCCCAGAACTCCAGAGGCAGAGGTAGGCAGGTCTCTGTGAGTTCGAGGTCAGCCTGGTCTACAGAGCGAGTTCCAGGACAGGCTCCAAAGCTACACAGAGAAACCTTATCTCAAAAAACAAACAAACAAACAAACAAATAAGTGAGCAAACAAATAAATATAAATATAAATAAAACAAAGCCTCTCCCGAAGCACCTTCACAGACCCCCAGAGGCATGTCTCCTAGGGGGTTCCAAATCCAGTCAAGTTGATTGACAATGAAGATTCACTAACACTGGCACCTTTAGAATCTGGGAGGTTTTCTTGAAAAGTCTGGACGAAAGTAAATTATTTAAATTCACAACCTTGGGGCTGGAGAGATTTAATGAACGAATCAACGATTGCACGGTACAATTCTGAAGGCTGGAGTTTTGACCCCAACCCCCATATAGCAAGCCAGGCATCCTGCAAACACACTTGGCCCCAGCTCTGAGGGAGGGGCATTTTCTTTTGACCTCTAAGCATGCACACGGGTGTGTGCCTGCAGTCACAGCTGTGCACACGCTTACATACATGAGCAAAGCAACATTTTCCTCTGTTCCTAAAACCTGCGTCCTTCCTTTCTGTCCCGCCAGTGCCAGCTTGGTCCCAGTGTTTTCTTTTGGTGAAAATGAACTTTTTAAACAAATTAACAACCCCGAAGGCTCATGGCTTAGATTTGCACAAGAGACACTGAAGAAATCAACCGGGTTTACCTTGCCACTGTGTTACGCCAGGGGAATATTCCAGTACAACTTTGGCCTAGTGCCCTATCGGAAACCGATCTACACCGTTGGTATGTACACGAAATAAACAAAATGGTCTTACCTCATACAGTGTTTGCTGTTACTGTCTAGCTGCTAATAATTCCAAAGAAGTTGCCTTGGGTTTGGACTTGCTAATGTCTTAGATCTTTCATTCTCAACTTTTCACTTTAATACCATTCTTCATGTTGTGACCTCCCCCCCCAACCATAGGATTATTTCGGTTGCTACTTCATAACTGTAATTTTGCTACTATTGTGTGTGAATCATAATGCAAATATCTGTGTTGTCTGATGGTCATAGGTGACCCCTGTGAAAGGGTTGTTTGACCCCCACAGGGGTCATGACCATGGGTTGAGAAGCTCTTTTAAACTCCAACTGAACTTTAACCGTGGTGTGCACATCTAAGGAACTTCCTCTGCTTGACATTTGTGTGGGAGTTGGTTACCTTGTATAACTCCACTGCTGAGCTAGAGTCCAAGTTTAGACATGAAGTTCCTAGTGCTCCTTGGTGCACCTGTTTGTCTGTACCTGCCTAGAGCACAGGGGTGGACTGATAGACAAGCCACCCTGGAGGCTCCCAGCCACACCCACGCCAGCGTCAGGTTCTCACTAGAGCACGCTTTGTGTCACTAGTTATGTTTATAGATGTTCTGGTAGCGAATGTTTTTATTTATAAAAGGTGAGTGTTTGAAGGACTAGAGACGGGGAGCAGAAATGAGAAAGGAAAGGGTCAGAGCCCAGCCTGGCGATGTACGTGTAGCGTCACCTGCTGGGATACTGAGGCAGGAGGGACCCAGGGTCAGGGCCAGCCTGAGCAACACCCAAAGCAGTCTCAAAAAGTAAACTAGTCTATAAGTGGCGGGAGTAAAATACTTTCCTTCTGAGGCTTGGGAGAGGCGGGGAGGATGAAAATGAGGAGGTGCTGAATCATGATGAATTCAACCATAGTTTTGCATTTTATATGAAATGGAAAGAATACTTTTACCACAAGAGCCGATAACTAAAATATGAATGTAGTGACTTCTCTCTTTTTTTAGATTAGCTTCACTAGAAGAGCATTTCTTCCATTCCTTCTTCTCCTCTTCCCCCCTCCTCCCCTTTCTTTCTCATAACGGAGTCCCATGTAGCCCAGGCTAGCCTGAAGCTCACTATATAGCCACATCGTCTTAAACTTCTAATCCTCCCGCCGCCACAGGAACCCCTCCTGCTAGGAGTACACACATGACATTTTCTGCTGTCAGTTTATATGAGCTTTGCGATTCAAGTGCAGTCACGTGACGCTATTTTTAGCTGCTATATTTAACTCAGATGGGATGCAGCAGCCTGTTGGTTACTCCAGGGAACAGTGAGATAAATCGCAGCATAGGACTGTACTTTCATGACCAACTGGCTCATTTCTTTGGTATCATATCAGCTAATCATTTTTGTTCCGTAATGTTATGCTGTTGATTTGAGGGTGAGATATAATGGAATTTACAAGTTATGATCTGGGGGATAAGTTTAATTAGAGGTGGTGCATATGCCCACATGCAATTGTAGATACTGGAAAGGGGGCATGCGGCTGTTGGTTGCAGTTACTGTCTCCTTGCATTAACTTTTTTTAAGCAGCATGGCTTTGGTATGCGATGCAGTTAAATTGTTCCTTTCCTGACAAAGTCAGAGGAAAATGGAGCTGCAGAATGTGAGCTGCCTGTCAAGACGTTCTCATTCCTGCTCTATACTGCGCTTCTTTTGGGGACTCAGAATAAGGGGACATTCCGTTGGCTCACCCCATACCTTCTCTGAATGGTTCTGAGTCCACGGCATCTCCAGAAGCCTGTTATTTTTTTTTTTGAAACCTTTAAATGAAGGTAATAATAAGAATATTTCGTAAAGGTCCAGCTGTCACAATCTTAGGACCACAGAGGGGGAGTCAGAGATTCCAAACAGCCTGACCTGTGGGAACCAGACCAAACCTAAGCCTATAGTCCCGATTCATAGGTAGCTGTGGCAGAAGGATCAGAAGTTCAAAGCAGACCTGGGCTGCAGAGTGAGTTCAAAGGCAGCCTTGGCATAAGCCACATGGTTAGATTCTGTATAGTTTAGTGGTAAAGGACCCGTCTAGCATGTGAAAGACACAGTCAGTGCCTGGTACCGCAAGGACAGATAAGAAAGAGAGAAGGAAGAAAGAAGAAAGAAATGAGGAAGGGAGGGAGGGGGGGGAGGCAGATGGACAGGACAGAGCCTTCCTGACCAGCTTGCTGAGAGTTTCAAACGCATTGAGCTTTCCCTGAGCAGGAATTCCTGCCCGCATGTTAACCAGCATCAAAAGTGTGAGCAAGTAGACAAATGGTTCATTAAAAAAACAACCTCAGTTTCTGGAATAATAGAGAGGGGAGACATCCAGAGACACACAGCTGCCATGCGCTGGGGAAGCAGATGCAAACAGGGCTCATGAAGCCGCTGGCAGAGTTTGAAGGGGGATTATGTGTAAAATGTCGCATGACGGAATATCTCGGGGGTGTGATGTGTAGGCTATTGTTCTCGTTCTGAGAAAACAAAATGGTCAGGGATGATTCGTACGGCTGAGTTAGTACCATCACCTTCTGCTCTCAGAGGCTGTTAGAGATTAAAAGCAGGCTGGCACTGTGGTACATGTCTACAGTCCTGGCATTTGGGTGGCAGAGGCAGGGAGACTGTTTCAAGTTTAAGGCTAGCCAGAGCTACATATAAAACCCTGCCTCAGAACCAACCAAACAAACAAACAAAGCCCTAATAAGAGACTGGGTAGGTAACTTGGGTGGTGGAGCGCTTGTTTAGGAAGCTCCAAGCTTAGATTTGGTAGCCAGCATAAAACAGGTAGGGTAGTGAATACCCGTAAATCCAGCACTTGGGAGTTTGAAGCAAGACGATCCAAGTTCATGGGCATTCTCTGCTCCATAATGAGTTCGAAGCCAACTGAGCCAAATGAGACCTTGTCTCAAAAAGCATCGACAAGATAATAATCCCTGCGTATTTTGATGCACATATGTGTGCTTATGCATGCGAAGCAACCCAGCAACGGTTGGATGTAGCTGACAGCAAGTGTTTATGGTATCCTTGAGGTTCTTAGATAAAAAAGATAAGGAAGCAGGTTTTATTTTAATAAAACTAAACTCCATCCCATCATATACTGGTGGGAGAAGCCCAGGCTAAGAAACTTCTGAAATTGAAGGAAAGGAGGGGAATGCAGTTTTGTTTTGTTGTTTGTTTTTTAAAGATTTATCTATCTATTTATTTATTTATTTATTATATATACAGTGTTCTGCCTGCACGTACACCTGTAGGCCAGAGAGGGCACCAGATGTCACTAGAGATAGTTGTGAGCCACCATGTGGTGCTGGGAATTGAACTCAGGACCTCTGGAAGAGCAGCCAGTGCTCTTAACCGCTGAGCCATCTCTCCCACCCCCGCAGATGGTTTTATTTTTAAAACAGGAGACATTAAAAGAGAGAGTGAGGTCCTGAGGATGAATGCAGAGGAGGTAAGACTCCCCCTCTGAGGTGTTAGGTTTTTCCAGCAGGGCCCATGCTTTCACTGGCATGAGTCAGATCATCAGGGAAAAGTGTTCGGACCTTCTAGGTACGACAGAGCCCCACGAAGGATGAAGAATCACAGAAGTGACCCGGGGACACATTTATATGCTGGGTTTACCAAAGACAGCCGCTAGGGGAAAGTAGCTCAAATGTACACAGAGACTAAAGACAGGAAAGAGCTCTTGTCACAGGGTCTGTAGGGGTCTCTCCTGACTAATTCCCCCTGTCTGCTGAAAAGACTTTCTTTCTTCCTGGTCTTAGGAGGGCATCGTTTACAAGGGAGCTTTAGTTCCTTCTCTCAGGAAGAAAGGGGAAGCCTATAGTGCCCTTCTCACATCGCGGAAGTACCCTCCACATCCTGCACCTTCACTCCGACTTCTCAGACTCACTGAGCTGTTCTCACTAGAGACGAGAGCTATTTCTATGAAACTACAATTTGCAGGCCAATCTGGGTATGGATTTTTTTAGTACGCCCCACCCCACCCGCAGAGTTCAGAACTGCGAGGAAGCTATGAAAACCTCTAGTTTTACTCTCCCATCCCACGCCAAGGAAAATTTCGGCCAGACAGAAAGCTAAGACAGATCCAGGCTACTCCAAGGCTGCTCTGGATCCCCGATCCTCCTGCCTCTGCCACCGGAGTGCTGGAGCTAAGGCATGCGCCAGCTGGCCTGGTTTATTTTCTCCGGGTCTCTCTGCTGTGTTGTCAAGGGACTGATGTCCACCGTGCAGAAATTTGACTTCCAAACGATCAAAGAAAACCGTCCGTGAGCGTTCGGACGCCGCATCTGGAGACTCAGCAATTCCGGGTGTGGGTGTGTCGCTCCTCCTTCTGTGCCCCTCAAGGCCCATATTCATGCTCTTTACCGCTTGCTGCTTGCTCTATTCCTTCACGCTTGTTCAGTTTTTTTCTTAAATAACCGCCGTCTGCTACTGGCACGGGTTCACCCTGTCTGTAGCTTGGAGAAAGACAAAGGGGGCTCCTCCAGACTGTCTTCCCTTACAGCCACATGCACAGGCCTCCTGCCCAAGCTAATGACTCTAGAAGAAGCAGTTTGCTACGAGGATTGAAGTTGACCGCCTGGCCTTGGAGCAGTAGCAGCATCTGGCCAGCAGATGGCGCAGTGTATACGGGCGCCAAAGACTTGTCTTTCCGAACTCTATAATTCTGAGGTTCCTTATTATATAAACATCTTTTAAAATATGTACAGAATGCCAGGCAGTGGTGGTGCACGCCTTTAATCCCAGCACTCGGGAGGCAGAGGCAGGGGGATCCCTGTGAGTTTGAGATCACAAGGTCAGCCTGATCTACAAGAGAGCTAGTTCTAGGATAGGCACCAAAGATACAGAGAAACCCTGTCTCAAAAAAACCAATCCCCCCCCCCGAAAAAAAAGTACAGAAACCGCCAGATTTATCTACATCTAGTCGGCATTTTTGTAATTATACATGTGATATAAATGTTTTTTTCTTTGTGGACCACTCATATGACCCAGATTAGATAAACCTTTCTCTATCTCTGTCTCCTTCCCCAGAGGGAAATGTCGGTCTTCGCATATTTTTTTCCTGTGCACTTAAAATGCTGATGCACCTAGAAATATAATTTTTTCATAGATAGGCTCACACTTTATTTTGCAACTTTTCTTTGACGTTTTAGATATTGTGCGTCCCACATTATTTGTTATTTAGAAGAGATAGAGCCTAGGATTCCAGTGAATAATGTCGCTCAGCTTATGCAACTGTGTTCCTATTGAGTTGCGGTTGCTTTCGGTTTTGTGATTCTATGACTTTCGCACAGATGCCTCACTGTAAAGCTAAGGGACACTTTCGATTGTTTTGAAAGATTTAAAAAAAAATGAGTCAGAAATAGTGGGATGCCGCGCGACCGGAGCCTTTCAGTCAGTCATAATAAGAACTCTGTGGTCTGATTGTCAGCTGTGCCCAGGGGAGAATGAGGGTGACGTGACACACGGCCACGCCCACTCTGCTCTCAGCTGCAGCCCGCACAGCAGCGTTGGACTCAGAGGGCAAACCACCCGGAGGAGAGTGACAGCCCAGTGTCTGCTGAGAAGGGAAACTCTTTATTTGCTGGCGAGTGGGATGGTGTGACTGAGGCAGGCAGCCACTGAGCTGCGGAGAGGACTGGAGCCAGGGGACTGGAGGGGTGGGGATTGGCAGCCCAGGCCTCGGACGCCCACTGGAGACGCCGGCTGTGGCGGAGCAATGGTTGTTCCTCTAGGGTGATTGCGCACTCTGTTTTTCAGTTGGCCGCCCCATCCCTGTCCGGAGGACTCCGCACCCAACCCAAGAACAGACTGACCAGCTGCATCAGACCTATATGGAGGAGCTAAAGAAACTATTTGATGAGCACAAAGGGAAATACGGTATTCCAGAACACGAAACTCTGGTTTTTAAGTGACTCTCCCCCTTCAAGGCACAAAGGAAGACAAGAGAACAGTGTTGAGAAAATAAATATATTAAATAAGTTCACTGTGGGGTCTTTTTGTTTTTGTTTGTTTGTTTTTTACTGTAGAATCAAATTGCAACTGAAATGTACTAGTCCTGGAGCCAGCTGCTCTTATTTTATACTGCTAAATAAAAATCCAGTAGATGGAGGGCTGGGGTTGCAGCCCACTGCTAGGATGCTCCCCAAGCACAGGCAAGGCCCCAGGTTTGCTCCTTAACACTGGAAAACAAAAATACATTGCAGATGTTTATAGGATAACGTCGAAGATGTCTAAGACTTGAGAACCTTCTGAATTTAGGGAGACTGTATTGTTCTTCAGGTTCCTAAAAGGTTTAGAGTTACTCACGTGCTCGGAGCAAAAGCAAAACACTAACTTGAGAAAGCCTCCAGACCTGAGCACCACTGTGGCTGGGGGTGCCAAGCATGGCGGCTGATGTTCACCACAGCTGTGTGTGTGTCAGAGACTGTGTAACTTGCCATAGAGAAAGCTGGAGAGACAGGGTTCCCCCTGAACACATTTGTTACTGAGCAATGCTGACTTTAATACTAGATGATGAGCATCCTTTACGTCACATCAGTGCTTTTTGGTCTGGGTGGGTATGTTTGTTTTTTGGGTTTTGATCAGGGCAGAATTAAGCCATTTCTGAAGCAGGACTTGTCTGACACTTGGAGTCCCGTATGGGTGAGAGCCTGTGTCATTTCTCCTTATGTATCTGCAGTGGAAAAGCGTTTGTTTGGAAGATGGCTTCCTCCCTGTTCCAGAACACATTGGAGGGGTTGCTGGACGTGGGTTACACAACAGAAGTGCTTGTCATTTTCTTCCCCGGGTGGCCTTTTCACTTGGGACAAGCTCTGAAAGAAAGCGCCCTCTCTTCTCAGCGCTGTCCAGTTCTGTCAACCGGAGCAGCATCTTCTCTGTTTGCTGAGATGTCCCTGGTGCCTGGCGCAGCGAGGGGCACTCAGAGGGCGCAAAATAAGTACTTGCCCAGTGGGTATAGAAAATAACTTTGCTATTATGTGAATACTTTTCTGAAGCTATTCCTTAGTAATGAAGCCTGTTATAAGACAAGACCCACACGAGATAGGAAAATTTCCTGTTATCTAACTGGCCTGCATCAATAATCAACTTCGCATCATCCTAAGCATGTCAGGGTTCTGCTGTTTAGTCACACTGTTTTAGGTAAGGAGAACGGCACCAGAAACAACGCCCGCCCTGCTGCATGTTTGCTTCTTTGGCTCCTGCACCGTAGCTACTTGTAAGCCCATCCGATAACAGTTCAGTCCTATCTGCCTATTTTTCAGGCGCCAGGTTCTGCTTTTTATTCCTACGAAGCAATGGAGAGGGTTTTTGGGGTTTTTTTTAACCTTCTAATAAGAATTCTAGGCTTAAATATTACCTTGTGGGCATTTAGTTCGGGGTTGGAACGTCTAGCATCCTGTAGAAAGACAAGTGGGCTATGGGCATCTTCCAAGAGAAGACTTTATGATTAATTCACTAGAAAAGGGCATATTTGAGCTCCTGGAAGAACCCACTGAGGTTTAACAAAACCTGACAAGAAGGAAACAGAACCGAACTTAGCGTGGTGGCATTGTTAGGAAATAGGATGCCCCCATTCAGAGGTCCCAAGTCTGTGGCAGGAAGCTGGGAGCAGCTCAGTGGCTGACAGGCTTCGACAGAGATGCCTCTCCATCAGTCCCCACCGCATCCTGCATCTTCACTCTGACATCTCTCACTGGGATGGTCTTACTCTGGGCATAATCTGGGTATAGATTTGCAGCCCAAGAACTTGAGCCCTCAGCACCCAGAATACACAGAAAAAGCCAGGCGTGGTGGTGTGTGCTTGGAATCCCAGCCCTGAGGACACCAGAAGTGGACACCTGGAGCTGCCAGACAACCAAGTGAGAGATCTCACCTTAGAAAACATGACAGACAGCCCCCATGGAAGGAGAGACAGCAGAGATTGTCCTCTGACCTCCATGCACATACTACACACATGCACACGTATCCCCATGCGTGCATCTGTTCAACCATGCACACTGCACACACACAAATCATGCCACACAACAGCAAGAGTAGGAAGTATTTCACACAGGAGAACATGCCCCTCCCCAGTTGTTCCGCATGGACAATCTGAAAATCCACTGCCCCAAAGCTTTGGAATCTATTATTTTGTCAAAGCAGAGCCTTTAAGTTGTTACAGACCCAGGATCATGATTTCTCGATCTTTAATACCACGTTTAGTGAGGAGGCCAGGCTGGTCGCCCACCGTCAGCTGGATTACCCAATAGGCATTGAAGCCCAAGCTTGGTAAAGCAGAGTTTGCAAACTGAAGGAAGCACTCCTTTGTGCGTTCAGACAAATGTTGATCTAAAAATGTAGATATCAATGGCCTGAAACTTGGCGCGTGAAAATGTCATTTTCACTATATATGGAAGAGGATAGGCTTGCGTCCCAACTTCTTAGGGTCTCCTGAAGCTTTACTCAAGCCCTTCAGGTACGTAGAGCATAGCTGTAAATCCCACATGGTCCTACAGATGGCAACTGGAGGTTTCCGTGAAGAATTGGCCATCATGCGATGGCACATGTGGTGTTCACATTGTGGTTTCGCAAGGGTCTCTCATGTTGTAGAAGTTCCTCCTACTGGACATCCACATCTCAAGCTCAAGCAGCAAAGCAAAACCAACGGAACAACAAAACGGATCCCAGGGCACTATGACAGACAATGACCTTGGGGACTTGGGGACGTGTGTACCAGTATTGTTTGGTTTCTTTCCCCAAGGTGTTCCCTGTGTGCAGAGAGCATCTTGAGTCCTTCATTTCCTTTGTCTTACAGCTAGAAGTCTGTGGAATGGTCACTAGTCAGCTACTGTTACTGTTTCCAGAGGGTATGTCTGAAGGCCAGGCAACCTTGCTTCTTACAAAGGGGAACCGCTGTGAGGGGTTCAGGGTGTTTGGGTGCAAACGGTCTGAAGCTGCTTTGAAAACCAGTGTGTTTACATCAGGGGCATTGGTGTGACCTTGTCATAGGCACTGGCTTCGAAGTGAAATCATCACTTTTCAGTAGAAGGTTCATTTCTGTGGAGACGGAATCTGTCGCTACGCATGCACATGCACTTCTGCAGCCTTACCTCCCACTGCTGCAGGCTGCAGAAGCGGCGTGTATGTGGGAACACTGTAACACGCGTGGATGTGGGAACAGTGTAACACACGCTCACTCAGCGTTCTTTACCGTGGTAAGAGAGAGCTGGTCTGGGCACGACGGCAGATGCTTTCAGAAGTCAGGAGCCTGATGCAGAAGAATCACTGAGTTCCAGGCCAGCCTGAACTACATAGTGGATTTGAGCCAGTCTGGGCTACTCTGAGTAAGATGAGCAAAGGAGAGCTGGAGAGATGATGGCTCAGTGGTCAAGAGCACTGGCTGCTTTCCCAGAGGACCTGAGTTCAATTCCCAGCACTCACAGGGTGGCTCACAACCATCGGTAACTCCATTTCCAGGGGATCTGACGCCCTCTCTAGGCACCAGGTACACACATGTACACATGTGTTGCACAGACACACACTTAGGCAAAGCACCCAGATATTATAATAATAATAATAATAATAATAATAATAATAAGAATAAGAATAAGAATAAGAATAATATACATCAGATGAGAAAGGAGGATGGGAGAGGGGCAGAGAGGGAGGATGGGAGAGAGACAGACTGATCTGAGTGTTGCTGAGATGGGATTGGTTGGTTAGTTAGTTGCTTGTAGGTTGAGTTTCTCTGTGTCCCAGTAGTCGCTCCCAAATAATCACACAGAGACTTATTACTAATTACAAGTGCTTGACCAATCTCTTAGCTGGCTCTTACAACTTAAATTAACCTGTTTCTATTAATCTATGCATTGTCCCTAGGCTTGTGTACCTCATCTGTGAACTTCCCATGATATTTCTTCCATGTCTGGTTTACGTCTCCTCAGACTCTACCCTTCTTCTTCCCCACATTCTTTCTGCCTGAAAATCCCGCCTAGCTATTGGCCAATCAGCTTTTTATTAATAATGAGAAGAGCACATTTTCACAGTGTACACCAGGATCTTTCCACAGCAGTTGTTCAGGTGTTTGTACCCCAGCAACCAAAAGTGGCTAGCTCTTATATTTGTGTCAAAAGGTAGGGCACGAAGCCGGGAGCAGCGGTCATTCCTGTGACCCAAGTACAAGACGATTGCTGTGACATCATTTATTGCTTGTTAAAATCTCTTGTTAGGAAGGATGAACTTTTATATTTCCTACATTTCATGTGCTTCTGGGTACATGTAAGAATCTCTCTGATGGTAAGAATTTAACTGAAGTTTAACAAAGTTTTAAACAAAGTTTAATAAATGTGTGTTTATGCCCAAGGGATAAGTGTGTTTGTGCCAGTTTTTAGGTTAGTTTAATAATTGTTTTTAAGGCATGCTTTTATTTTAAATTATGTGTATATCCCCCTGCCACTGTGTTTGTGTGTGTGTGTGTGTGTGTGTGTGTGTGTGTGTCCGTGAGTGCAAGCACCTGTGGAGTCCAGATCAGGTCGGACTCCCTGAAGCTAAAGTTACAAGCGGTTGAGAGCCACCTACCTAACTCAGGTCCACCTGAAGAGCACTGAGACTCTTAAAGAATGAGCTATCCAGGGAATGCTTCAGAAGAGCAGGAGGAGCTTACAAGTCAACGAATGGATTAGGGAGTTTCCTGTGAGACTGTGTCTCCTAGGAATATCTGACCAAGCCTCCCAAACAGGAGCTGAATGAGGACAACATTAGACATGCCAAAGTGAGCAGGAAGACTAGGAGGCTTCACCCCTACATGAAACGACAGGTAGCCAAGGAAAGCTAAGAGTTGGAGAAATAGTCTTCCCCAGGGAAGATCACACCAACCAGGCCAGCTTGGTCTACAAGGCGAGTTCCAGAACAGCCAGGGCTGTTACACAGAGAA